CTCTATACACGAAACGAGCGCTAAAACTTTCACCACTTGCCACACAGCACGGGCCGAGCTTTGCAACCCATCTGGGTCCATCATCCAGCCTCCTACTCCTCCTCTCTCTTTCTGTCGCTCTGTCTGTCTGTCTGTCTGTCTCTCTGTCTATCCACGTCTGCTGCTCACTCGCTTCGCCTGGCGCTTTTTCACTATTTATCATTGTCAACTTGAGTGCGACGTTTGGCGCTGCTGCTGCTGCTGTTGGCGCTGCTGTTGCTGTTGCTGTTGCAGCGGCTTCGTTGATTTATCTTTCCGCTAAGCAGATGTAACATTATACGCCACAAATACATCCGACGTTCGTCTCTGGCTGCTGCTGCACGTTGACAACTCTGGCCAGGACGCTGCCGCTGCCGCTCCTGCTGCTGCTTCTGCTGCTGCTGATGCTGTTGGCAGGCCCATGCCCAGGGGTGCAATATTTCGTATATTGTCAAATGGGCCAGCAGCAGCAGCAGCAGCAGCGACAACCCACAATAAGTAAAACCTCTCACTCTTTTTTTAATGTCGACCAAACGCTAGCCAAGTGTCTGGGCCAATTTTATAATGCCCTACGACTGCTCAATGCAGCTCCTTGCTTTCTGGGAAAATAGTTTTTAGGAAGGGCGATGGGAACAAGAAACGATTGAAGGAATTGCCTTAGTATAACATATAAATAAATATATATAAATATACCTAATAAATAAGTATTCCCCAACGTAATTTCAGGAATTAGGCAATGGAATAAATACGATGAAAATAGAAGAGGATAGCTACAATATATAAATATTCTCTATAGACATTTCATGAACTAAAAATAAATAATTTTGTTCATAGATGAGAATAAGAGAGGAAACTGATATTAAATTTAACATTTATTTTTGATAAGACTTTTACAAAAATAATATTTATTTTTTACACTATATTTTTCAATATTCCTAACTGTTGTTCCACTTGTATTCTCATATAGTTTACATCGGGCTCTCACAAAAATTCGGAATAGTTTCTTTACATCTGCAATTGCTGAAGCATTTGCTTACACTGAAATAAAACTCAATGCACTTCAAGTTCCTCACAAGCTCATTCAATGCCCTGCAGCCAAGGCATCTAACTCTCAGCTAGCTTGACGTCTTGAATAGCCCAAAACCAAAAAACATAAAAAGAAAATAAAAAGTAAAATAAAATCTATCCGTGATATGCAAATAGACATACATAAATCTAGCTAAAGGCTACAGGGTATTGCATGGATTATCAACACATTCCAATAGCCGTTTGGGTTCCTTCCATTTTTCTATTTTTTCTATTTTTTGGTTTTCAATTTTTTAGTAGTTGTTGCTGGCAGGCAAAACGTCGATTTTACCCAGGTCAGAAACTTGTATATACGAAATTGTTTCTCTTTTTTTACTGTGTGCACATGGGCACGGCAGAGTTTCAGCAGAAAGTGTGAGTAAGAGGGCGAGAGAGAGAGGGAGAGCCAGGGCCTGGGAGAATCGCAGACGGTGACGGCAACGACGGCTTGCTATTATATTTATTATTATTTTGTGATTCAAACGAAGTGATATAAATGTGTCACGTTTTACCAGTTCACACATACTGCAGGCCAATCGCTGGCCAAAAGCTAAGCTGCTGCCATACAGGTAACACACAGCAACAACAACAACAACAATAACTGGCAACAACAATCAGCCAACACCAACACCAACGCCTCCTTTTGTTTTGCCAGCCTCACGCTTTGGCTCTTTACTCTGATTTCAGTATTTTTTTTCGCTTGCTTTTTTTTGTTGCCGTTTTATTTTTCGTTGGCTTTTTAGTTTGCGCAACAATTTCGTGAGCGCTGGAAGATGATTTGTGTTACGAACTGGGACTGCGACTGGGATTGCGACTGGGTCTGGCACTGGGACTGGGACTGGGACTGGGACTGTGGCCTCAGCTCTGCTGTGAAGTTGAGACCGCATCAGATACACGTCCAGCGGGCGTTGCGACCGGTCGTCGGCTGCATTGTTTTGGCTTCTTGGGCTTCTTTTGGCTGGACCCGACTCGACGGCTCGACGGCTCGACTCTGACTTAATTTCTGTTCGTACATTTGCAGCCAGCTCGAAACTATAGCACAACTGCCTCGACCAGGAGAGGCGCATTGTTATATGACTATGGCCATTGTTGTTGCTGTTGTTGCTGTTGCTGCTGCTGCCTCTTTGCATTATTTCTGACTCTGACTCTGGTATCAGTTGCTGTTGATCAGCATTAGCACCTCTATCGAGTGAGCCTCTGGGATGACTGTGAATTGTTCGTACGTGTTGGTTATGAGGAAGGCATCAGGTAACGCTTATAGTGTCGCCCTCCCGCTGCCGCCCACCCCAGCAGCAACACGCCACGGCTATCAGCATTCGCATCGGCAAGTACGTATGGCAAAATTATGTAGCATCAACTGCATCTATATATGTAGACATACATACATACTCTAGCGAGTGTGGCCAGAGTTCGAATTTAATTTGATTGAAACATGTGCTCCAAAGCATGTAGGATCTTGCAACTGCGTCTAATTTGTGATAATTTGTGGGAAGTACGAAAAATACCAGCGAACTCGCCTCGCCTCGTCTCGTTCGTCTACGCGGCAGATCTTGATGCTGCAAATGAAATTATTGGGGCAATGCTTGTGTGGAACTGCTCAAGACCCGATGATGGTTGTGGGAAGTTTTATTTTCTGTGCGAGTGTGTGAGTGTGTGTGTGCGGAGGCTGAGTGAAGTGTTGAGGGAGACAGAGAGCAAGTGCCTGATAAACAAGATAATTGAGGATTATGCAGCACTGAGCATAGCAAAATCAAGCAAATATGAATGCGAACAATAACCCGAGGCACAATGAGTTCATAAGGTCACTTGCAGCACATCAACGAGATGGAGATGTGAAAATATTCAAGTCCAGCTGATTCACATAGGCAAACTTTAGTTAATGTAGCGAAAATAAATTTTTGCTACAGGCAAGCAAATTCGCAAAGCCAATTTGTAATACAAAAACAAAAATATGTTTAAAATTACAAATTTAATGAATAACAAAACAAATATTTAGTTTAAGGGAATTTGGAAAATAATTGTATTAATTGTAAGAAAAGCAAATATTTAAATTTTAAATAAATATTATTACGATATTTAATTGAATTAAATTATAATGAAAATAGTTCGACTTCAATAAACACGAATTTGTTAGAAAATCTTTAAGTTAAGGTATACATATAAGATTCAATTAAATTTAAAAGAGAAATATTATTTAATATCATATATTTATTTTAAAATAAATATCTATATATTGCATTATAATAAGAATCTCAGCTTAGTTTATTTTAAACAATTGCTTTAGTCGAATTCGTGTTGGCATGAGGTCCAACACGATGGAAATCGAAACAAAATCACATAAGAAAATTTGATTTGATATAAAAAAATAATACATAAAAATTTCATGTTAACGTCAATATAATATTTCTTACCTCAAATTTTTTTTGTATTATTATATATTGAAATTTTCAAAAGATCAAGGAAACATATATATAATATTTAGTTGAATTGACTGGCATTTAAAACAATTCCATATTGTAAAATGCAACAATACATCAAATTTTATTTTAATATCTGATAAATTTAGCAACAAGACTTTTAGCATTCTTGCAACAATCTAAAAAAAAAAAAAAATACACTTTTGTTAGCATTTCCATTCAACTTGTGGATGTCGTTGTGGCACATAATTAGATGGCTGCATCTTTCAGCAAAACAAAGGTCGAAGGCATCAAACCCAACTCAAATTTTTAATGCCACGATCAAACAAAGAGCATTCCCAAAAACTAAAGTGGCAAAGCAATTCAACGAAATACCCGCAGCAAGTCAATGCACACACACACACACACACACTCATATATACATATATACAATCAGCATATTTCGAATGACATTTGCGCCCTAACGATAACTCGCACTGTTGCAGACTGCCTCCCCTGAGAACATTCCGATCGGGCCCCGTCGCCCCCTGCCCCAGCCAGCGCAGACATTGGACAAACATTGGCACATCGTCGGAGCCCTCAGCTGTTATTGTAGTTCCTTTACTTTTGTTGTTGTTGTTGTTTTTTTTGGTTTTCTTTTTCAATTTGAATGATTTAACATAAAGCAGAAAAGGTAAGACACAAGCCGAAGCAGCCTCGCATAATGCGGGGCATTGTTGTGGCAGGCCTTATAAGTGCCACGACCAGGCAACACGCGCAAAAGTTTAACAGCCGCAACAACAATACCGACAACAGCAACAACAACACGAGGCGCGCAAATAATTTCAATCGTCGTGAATCATGAATAATTCAAAATCATCATTACCAACACCTTTTGAGCAAGCTCTCCTGCAACCACCTGAGAGTGTTGCCCAAAATGTTCACACTTCCCAGCGGCAACAGCAACGGCAACGGCAGCAACAACAATCGACTGGTAACTGGCAACAGCAACTTTTGCTCAATCTGCAGCCGCATCGCCGCGTGTTGAAATGGGGGGGCAGCATCACCAGCACCACCAGCAGCAGCAGCAGCAGCAGGAACAATACAACAATATACAAATCCGTGTGCTCTGGCCAGAGCTGGAGAGGACGCGCTGCTGCTGTTGGTGATGCTGCTCAAGTGCTAAACTGAGGCGGATTACCCAGGCAGGGCAGGCAACGGCAACACAACCACCAAAATATACACACACATACACATGCACACCTCCGCCCCCTTTGGCACGCCTCGATTTTTTGTGCCGTCGCCGTCGCCGTCGCCGTCTATTGTTCCATCGAAATATGAGGCACGACTCTGGCATTAAACTTCAAAAACGTTGCAAAATGCCAAAATGCAGCTCCAGACTTTGCTTCGATGTTGGCCAAGAACAATAAAAAAGATAAGCAAACGCTGTCTGACAACAACAACAACAACAACAGTAACAACGATGACGATGCTTCGAGCCACTTCAGCTAGCTGAGCTGCAGAGCGAGCCTCGTCTGCCTGCTTACGTTCCGCCTCCTCCTGCTCCTTGGCCATTTGCAACAAAAAGCGTTTGCGCGCAAGTGTTGGCCAAGAAATAAAAGTTGCTGACCTTAGCTACGTCTGAGGCTGAGGCTGAGGCTGAGACTGAGGCTGAGACTGAGCTGCAGACGAAGAGTCTTTGTCTATGCAACAACAGCAACAGCAACAAAGTTTAGCAACGTCTTGTATTTTTCTTCCTTTTTCTTCTCATTTCTTTTTTTTTTTATGTTTTTGAAGGATATGAGGCAAATACAAAATAGTTGCCAGCGCAGGGCGGTGGCAGCTCCAAAGTTGGGCTGCAGTGGCAGCTGCTTAATAAGTTTAAGCAATTAAAAGAGTGCTTTAAAGGTGGCCTGGCCCCCGACATTGATAGGCGCATAAAAACAGCTTAATGATTAGCGAGCTGGGCGCGAAGTTGGGGGCGGCTGCCGGCGGTTGACTTTAATGACTTGGCAGGCCAGGCTTAACAAGGTGCGCATCATAAACGCTGCTTAATAGCGCAACTTGCAAATGCAAGGCGCGAGTGGAGGACGAACGAGTTTCGCTTTAGTTTTCGCCTAGGATCGGCGCTCAACAGAAATAGTAATCATCGAAGTGCCAGTAAAGAAACAAAACTAATGATCACGATGTGGCATAGGAGAGCTCTAAGGGAGCTCAGTGAGATATCATGTTAATTGGCAAATAGCACTGCGGTGTGTGTGTGTGTGTGCTGCCTATAAATCCCAATGGGTCTAAGCCGACGTCGACGAAGGGAATGAGTCAGGCCTTTAGTGAAAAGCAACTGTCAACACTATAACAAAATGTAATTTAAATGTAGCAGGAGTGCATATATAGATGTATGAATTCTCTTTATGGACTACATAAAGGGTATTCACATAGAAATAAATGAATGTATGAATACCGTTTAGGGACTCTATTCAATCCTAGTACATTTGTATTATTTTAATTAATAATCGGTTAATGAAAAATGTGTTTTAATTTCTTTGAATTTTTTAAGTGAGAAATTTAAAATAAAATGTTTCTTTTTTATTTTCTTTAAATTTTTTACTAATAAATTTTGTTTAAATTTATTTAATATTTAAAGAATAATACATTTTAGTTGCAGTTTTTTTTTAAATTAAAATACGATACATAAAGTATGCATTGTATTAAATATTAACAAATCAAAATATTCCATTCCTATTAATTTCAATAATTTTTTTTTAATAGCATACATATTTATTACAACTGATTTTCTGCTACCTTTAGTGCATGTTTTACATCCCGATTTGGTTTTGTAATATAATAATGCATGATAATAATGCCATACTATTTCTTGACAAATTAAAAATACCCTTTCTCTGCGAGGGTAACAAAGAGAAAAGGCAATTCATATATAGAACACATTTTTTCGCATTTCATGCCTTTGCTAAGCCCGCGCGCTAAATGCTTTCAACTATTTGAAACATCTGCAGCATTTCCATTTCAGTGCACCCAAAAAAAAAGAAAAGAACAATCACAAACCTTTTATGTATAGCATATATACATATGTGCATTTGTCTGAGTGTGTGTGTGTAATTCTTTATTGTTGTCGATCATCATCATTGATCACATGCGCAAATTGGATGCAGCTCAGTCATGCATGTGTTTTGATATAGGCTACCCAATTGATTAATCCGATGCCGACTTAATTTACCCTCAACAGCAACTGCTGCAATAATGATCTAGGTAAACAGTTTGTGTGATTTTCACACGCACACACATACACACACACACATACACAGAGTAGTTGCCCACCCGTATTTGTTACCTTTCGAAGAGGGTATTTCGCCAGCCGCTTCTGGGTTAGTCAGCAAAATTTTGCGCCGCTATTGTGACTTGCCAATTGGCATTTGGGATTTCTGGTCAAAGTCATTTTGCGCATTTTCAATTTCCCAAAAGTTTTCCATCATGCCACCGAGTTCTCCACCGCCCAGCGGGCTGCCTGCTGTTACACAGCTGCTTTGTAGTCTTAGCGCATTCAAGCTGCTAATTAGTCGGCATTAGAAGCATAAAATGGGCAGCCCACCTCCTGCTGGAAGCTCCACGTTGCCGGCAAAAGCGCATTAGATGCTTCAGTTGTGCTGCTAGTTAGGCGAGAGCGACTCCAGCGAGGGTGTCTCGAACTCAAAACGAGAAATAAATGCCAATAATTTGGTTTTCGCTCAGCTCAAACCAATCACCCACACCGTTCGCCCCTTCCCCTTCCCCTCCCTCTCCTACACAAACTCAACTCGGCTCAGCACAGCTCAGCTGCTTGGCTGCCCTTTTTTGGGGAAAATACAATTTAGTTTTTGAAAGGCTAACGAACTATTTTCACAGCCTCGAGTAGCTCTTCGGCTGAAGCTGACGCTGAGGCTGAGGCTGAGGCTGAGGAGCTGCTGCTCTGGCCACTTGGCAAAAGTGCAAGCGTGGCGAAGGCAAAACCTAAGCAAAATCAAAGGCAAAGAAAAAAAAAAAACAAGAAAAGGTTCAGCTTGAATTGCCATTTCCATTGTTGTTGTTGTTGTTGCTGTTGTTATTTTTGTGTTTGCTACGTGCACACAAACTTAATTTGAAGTTAAAAATGTGGCACAAAGTGTGGCCAAGGGTGGATCAGCTAGTGCAAATGTGAACGCTGTCAAGAAGGTATCGACTTTATCTCATCTGGCCTTTTATAATCCAGTTAATTTGAATTTCTGAACAAAGGCAAACAGCTTGAGAGCCAAGCGAATATGGAGCAAAGGCTAAATGTTATCTGAGTATGTAAAATTATTAACAAAAGCTGATGTATGGGATATATAATTATTATTTATTTCATCTCATTTATATTCACTTTATTTATTTTAAACATTTATGAAAATATACTCATATAATTCGTACAGATTGAGCTAAAATAGTGCAAGTTAAGGAAAGAGTTAAACTAACAGATCTATAGAAAAAGTTTCTTGTTAAACATCCTGTTAACGCTATCAACAGACCTCAGGTACTTCATAGAGCATAGATAATTCAGGTACCACAGATACTTCATATATTTTATAAAATCTTTCAAAGAGCTGAAATGCTTCATAGGTCGTAGAGATTTCATAGTCTATAAGACTTCAACAAAGCAAATATGTGAAAGGAAGAGAAGAGATCACAAGCAAAGTTAAATAGAGACAACTAGATGAGTTAAGAAAACAAAGCAGAACAAAGGAGACCAAGAAAATAAACAAACAAACAATGTGTTGTAAGATCAATCAATGAATTTTTATAATTTTAGACAAGAAATTTGACTAGTTATTGATAGTTCATAGACCAAAGATACTGCCTACTATATTAGATATTCATAGTCTTATAGCACAATCTACAACATTTCATATCATCAACAAGGAAAGCAAAATACAAACAACTAGAATAAGGAAGAACTGAATAAGGTAAAAAGCTGATAAGCTAGCCAAACAAAGTAGAGCAAAAAACAAGAGAAGAAGCAAACAATGAGCTGCAGGATTAATCCACTGCTCTGGTAGCTCGTGTCATTAGAGACGTCGCATTTGTTTTTCATTCATCTGCATCCTTTTTTTCGTTCTCTGATCAGCTGAGGAGACACGAAATAACCAAGTCAGAGATTCAACTGGTTTCACAACCCTTTGCTCACTATGTTGCCCCACGTATGAATGCTTACACACATACTATATACATACATACATATACACTGGCATATTGCTTACTTTTTCTCCTGCATGAGATTTCACTTTGAAAAGTATTTGCCGCATGTGTCTGGATAACTTTGGTGCTGCTGTTGTGGCTGGCTGTGGTTTTTCGCTGGTTTTTTGTGCTTTCTTTTTTTTTTTTTACAGAACGTTTTGTACGTGCTCGGGTTTATGTGCATAGGATTTTCAATACGTCGCTATTGATTTTTATATAATACATAATTTCTTCAACATTCGTGTTCTTTTTTTTCACTCGTTGACTGGTTGCCGTTTTGTTGTCGTTGATTATTGGTGATTGGTTGAGTGGGTGGTTCGGTGGCTCAGTGTCTGGGTGTCTGCCTGCATCAGTCTTTGTCATCGTTTATATATAGCATACGATTCGATTATGCGATTTAATCTGATTTCGCACAAACGAATGATTCAAATGCAAATGCAAACACATAGGCTGGAATGGGGGACGCCTGCCTGAAGGAAGCAAACAGCATAGAAATGCGAGTCCTCAGCTTCGTTTTTACATTTATTTTTTCCTCCTCTTTTTCTCATTTTTTTGGTTAATAGCTTGCGATATATAACAAGCAGATGAAAGCAAAAGATTTGCATTACAAAACGACAGGTAAGCCATTTGCAGAAAGGGTGAACTCCAATGCAGGAGGAGAGGTGGGAATGGCATGTACTCGCTTGTATGTATGTGTGTGTGTGTGTGTGTGTGTGTGTGTGTGCACACATGTGTACAAGCGACTTATAAAAGCCAAGCTGTGCGTACACAATTATAGCAGTGAAGTGGTATTGGGATTGGCATTGGAAATTGATTGGGTTTGCGGGAATGTGCTCGATTTAAAATCAAATCACCTGCCGTGTGTATGTTGTTAGATAAATCTTTGTATATGATGAATGAGTGCATATTGCTAGCATGTTTTTCCACTCGACATTGTTGAATAACGGCCTGATAAGGGGCTTCGATAACCAAAAGGCCCATTCAACAGAATCATCAAGTACATTCGAACAAATCTAAAGCGATTTCAATAGAATCCAAGTGAAAGCACTTGAGCTGGAAAATTGTATTCTATATATATACTATATATTGTTGTTATTGTTGTAGGTATGCATTTAATTTGCATTGTAAATGGAATATAAAATGAAAATACCAAACTAACTTCTCTACAACTTACTTAATATCTTTAATTATTTTTCTTCTAATTGAGCTGCGAGTGAGACTTCATCTATTATTACAGCTGCCGTTTTTCGCTCACATTTCGTTCGACTTTTGCACAGAATGTCAAAAAA